GGACATCATAGAGGGGAGGACCGACAGCAGCATGAGCACCGGAAGGATTACCACAAGGAAGTTGGTGGAATGGAGCGAAAGCAGCCGGAGCAGAGTGAGAGCCAGAAAGAATAGAGGAGGCAGGCGAAGATGAAGAGTCGTTTTGCGGGAAGCGCGAAGGGGTGCCGTGGGGAGAGTAATGCTGTCCACGGGGAACAAAGACGTTTGCAGCTGGAGACAAAGCTGAAAACACGGTTAGAAGAAAGAAAAGATAATAAAGGACACACACCGGGACGAGAAGTGGAAGTGTTAGAAGGAGCAGGCGAGTGATCAACCGAATACAGCTGAACAAGGGCATAAGTGGCATAGAAAGCGTCGAGGGGTAGGCGCTGGAGCCGCCATAGCGCGTAAATACTGGAGAATATCGTGTCGTTGGGTGAATGGATGAAGGGGGAAAAGAAAGAATAGCCTGATATTTGCTGGGACAGCAAATTTATGAGTCCGCAAAGGGGGCGCATCTGGACCGCTGACTAAGCAAGAAGCAGACTTGAAGCAAGCAAGGGAGCACAATATAATGAAAACCCGCGCACCAGGTGCAATGGATTCATTCACAACAAGATAGCATTACAGGCAATAAACTAGGGTTCAGTTCAACAAGGAGCAACCCCGGACAAGGTGCTCGAGAGAGTCGCAGTACGCGCAACACTTACGCGGCCTGCAGAAGCTGTCAGCAAAACATCAGACAGAGCGGAACACTTACGTGGCCTTCAGTGGAGCGGCAAGGCGACGCTTCTGGGCTTGAGGACGTGGAGCTGGGCGCGCAGCCATGGCAGAACGTGTCGAGCTGCCAGGCAACGCAGTCGCGCTGCTGCTCGAGCTGGCGGATTCGTGCTTCAAGGACGAGGAGGCAGTTGATGGAGTCTTCTTCAGTTGGAGGTGACGAGTCGATGGCGGCAGAAGGCTGCCATGAGAAGAGACTCCCGCTTTGGACTAGAAGTGGAACGATAAGAGGTCATCTTATAATAAATGAGGCCACGCACCTTGTTGTTTCCACGGAATAATATTCCTTTGACAAAATAACACTATGAAGAGACTAAAACAACAGGGAGACTACTCGATTTGTGACTGTGCTAGCTCGGCGACACGATTGGCGGCAACAACGGTGATTTCAGGAAAGATGACGCTGGACTCTTCCGCCAAGGCAATGAATTGCCCGAGAACGGTGGGATGTTCACAAGCTGAGATGAACGCGCGGTAGCCGTCAAGGACGAGATCCCTGGTCGCGGAGGAAGTCACCTGATGAGAGTCAACGAAAGGAAATAGAAGAAGCAAAGACGCACTTGAAAATGAATGATGACACCCTGAACGATGCGGTTAACGCGACGGACCGCGTGTTGGTAATAGGAATCTGACAATGAAGGAGAAAGATAACAAAGGATGTGGAGCACATACCTACATCTTCGCGGTCAACACTATCGTCTGACAGATGACTGGTGAGGTCTTGTTGGACATCATGAAGCTCCAAGTCGTGAAAAATCTTGAGCGCCTCCAAGAATAGGGAAGGATCTACGAAACAGCATAGGCCATTTCCGGCAGCTGCACAAGGACCACATGGGATGCCCATAAAACGGAAGCTGCAAGCAAGACTGCGCTCCGCACAACTAGAACAACGGTGCAGCATCTAGACACAAGATCAATAACAGATATAGTCTTGAAAATACAGGTTACGCACCGGGGGACAAAGGGCTAATGCACGAGAAACATCGGAAGCCGTAGCTGGGTATGGTTGAGGACTGACTTGAGAGAATGCCACACGACCAGAAGAGTCGATGAAGAGACTGAGGTCTTCAGATGTGAGCTGTGGTTCCCAACACGGCAAAGGAGGCTCGGCGGTAACAAAAGTGGCGGCACGGTCAGAAGATTCAGATGTTGCTTCAGAAGAGTTGGTCATGGCAGGCTTGGGAAGTGAAAGACGCACGCGCGTGCTGGAGAAACTTCGCGAGACAGGCATATCAGACAAGTGGACAGATGTTCGGACTCTTTATAAACGGAAAATCGGACCAGCCGAGAAAAAGATTGACATGACACGATCTACGACATGAGAGATACTAGGCTAATCAAGATAGCGTGACTCCAGAGTCAGCGCAATGACCCGTCCCAAATGGTCTGATTCGTTGGGAAGAGAAGCGAGGTCGATATAGCCGGTGGCGGTGATTCCTCGGAGTGAGAGAGTCGTAGCCTGAGCGGAGAATTAAAGAAGAATTCAGAACATTGGCAGAAAGGCCTTACTTCAAACAGCGTGATTGCTCCCTGGACCACGCGATCGGTGTGCTCTACGGCGTGGTTAAAGCATATTGCTGGCCATGAGGAACAGGAAGAATGGGAATATTAACAAACTCACCAAGTTGAGCTGGGTCTTCAACCTGACTGGCCAACTCACGGCAAACACTGGTTATCTCGTCCTTGCGCCAGTCCCGAATGGACTCCATGAAGAAGTTGACGTTGGTAAAGGAGCAGTTGTCATGAGCGACTAGGAGACAATTTGGGCAAGATACGCCGTTGATGTGAAAACAACAAGGCAAGTCGTACGTGATGCAGTAGGCGCATTTGGCGAGGACCTGTAGAGGGTTGAGGAATGAGAAACAAGGACGAATATCACGGACAGTGGTACGCCAGCGGATAGCGCGTTGGACTTTGAGAGAATTGGCCGCTGCAGGATGTTCGTGGAAGCATAGGAGAATCGTCTCGCCATTCGGACCGATCGAAGCCTCCAGGATCATACATGGCGGTGAATGAGTTGCGGTTGCTGAACCCGCTCTTGGCGGGGGCAGGCGCTGTCGGGGGGGTTTTGGCCCGTGGGTGGTTGACTTTGTGGCTTTCGTCGAAGATGCGGTAGCGGCGGAGTGCCCCGTCTTGCTTGATGGCCTCTGCCTTCCAGGCCTCGTAGTTATCGGGGAGTGTGTCCTTTCAGTAGACCGCGTTCGTAACGCCCCGAAGCATGATATGTGGGATAAGCCATCTCCATACGATTGAGAGGCATGACGCACGCATAATATAGGATGTGCACTGGACAACGCACAGGAATGGGTTGCTACGATAATGACAGGCCGGATCAGGACACGTAAGAAGAGAGATCTGCAGCGCTATTTTAAGCCTGAGTGAGGACACTCAGAATTTTTGAAATGGGGACATGACGCACCGGCGACGCGTAGGGTGCCATAAACCACCCAGAACAAGCAACAAAAGCTAGAAGTGGCACTAGCTAGGGTATTGGGAGGCGCGCGAGCACGCGGGACGCACACAGCCGGGCGCATAGCCAGCGCAAAGCCGGCTCGAGTCAGAGGCGGAGCGGGGCGATGCTGACGGAGCCGCTATGACTCAGCGCGAGTCAGAGCGAGTCAGTGAGGCGCTAGGCAACGAGGGAGGCAATGCTAGTGATGGAGGGCAATGCGGAGGCTGTCCGCGGCAATGAGAGGAGTATATATTAGGCGCGAGTGTACTAGATAGTCATTGAACTCTTACCCGGAGTTGGAATCAGGCCTGCGTCCAAAGGGGTGGGGTTTTCTATTGCCGTATACGAACAATCGAACGACCCCCGTGTGGGGTACTATATTGAGAAGCTATCTACGTTGTTCCGTTGCTGTTAACGCCGTCGCCGTCGACCACGTTGTTCATTTGAAACCCGAGATCGGACCAACGCCAGCCGAAACGTTCCCACGACCTTTGCCGCTGCGCGGAAAGGCTTTCAACCTATTAATTCAACCCCTACCTACATCGTATATACTCTCTGGGTTGCCACACTCGTATACTTCAAGTGGAACCCCCGAACACGCGGGCGATTAGTCATCGAACACTTGTATTGGCTGGACTACTACATTGGTTGGGTTTGGTTTGGTTTGGTTTGGTTTGAGTGTGTGTGTGTGAGTGAGTGTCAGTTAGCAGTTCCTTCCCCTTCCCTTCCCATCCATTGTTCCCTGTCCTTTCCTTTCCCCTCCCCTTCCGATTTCACGCGTTTCAATATACACATACACATGTATAAGATTTTTTGCAAAAAAAAAGTTTCACAAAGATTGATTTTTGATCACATCAGTCAGAAAAAAACTTTCCGACCCTATCAAGGGTACTGCAGATCATCAGCTGGTGACATTAAGTCACACATGTCACATAGGGTAGGGGGGGTCACTGGGGTGAAAATTCACTTTTTGGACTTGTGTCTGGGGAAGGTGCATACACATCCAGGAGGACCAGAAATGCACAGTTATATGTTTTGAGGACTCGTTGCCAAAGAATATGGAATGTTTGAGGGCCTATATCCCAATCGGGATTTTGATAATAAGTACAGTCCTAAATAATGACATGCAAGCATGTCATTTACATTTTCTTCTTTCCTTCCCATATGGTATGTCTTAAATAGCCCTGGCAGAGAATCCAATGAGCCCAGTGCTGTGTCTTTTACAGATACTGATGACAAACAATTTCCTTTTTGGGAAGTCACATAGCTTAGTCATGCTTACGTCAATAGGGTAGGGAGGGCTGGCTAGTGCTTAATTCACTTTTTCGACCCAATGTCTAGGATTTTTTTTGCGCGGTACCCTTGGACCCTATATCCATGTTTCAAATCTTGAACCCCCCTTGAGGCATTGTCTAGAAAACCTGACAGCTGAATGAGTCTGGGCAAGATATGTAGGCTCTTTATCTAGTAGGCTGAGCATCAGTATACACCATTCATAGTATTTCATTTTATAGAGTCATGGATTGCAATGAATAAAATGTAACTAGATCTCATAAATTGCCATTTTGGCACAAGAACTCTGAACTTTTAGTAAAATGGTGTAATATATGAAAGAAAATCAGCACAATATTGGCATGCAAACTGAGGAAAATATTGTACTTCATCTATATTATATCTGCTTATGAACCAGGTTTGTGCGTCGAACCCTCGTCCATCAATTTATGATGCAAGGGGACTTGATCGTTGCTATGCGGAGCACGTGTCTGTCAACAACTTGCTTCTGCCCGTCATGTCCGACTCAGAGTTGGAACTGGACTGGAACCAGTGCGCACGACCCACTCCCGCTAACACCGTCAATTGATTGCTATGTAGGTTGCTCACTGCGCCGCTCCCAGTGGTTTCGCGCGCACTCAACACGTTGCGCCGGTCCAACAACGTGCCGAGCGAAGCACAGGCGCAAGCGATGCACGTGTTCCTGGAGGAGTGCGAGGAGCGCAGTTGCGCTATGGAGGATGCGATGGAGCTACTTCGAGAGCGACAAGAGGCGCTTCAGCTGACGATGACGAAGTGGCGACGGGCGCTCTCTCCGGTGCGCCGCCTTCCGCCGGAGATTTTGGGCGAGATTGCGGGGCATATACGCCAGGGGAGGGGGTGCTATTGTGCCACCGTGGGAGATGGCACAAGTCTGCGCAGGCTGGCGGGACGCGCTCATTCGCTTTTCATCGCTGTGGACGACGATTGGGACGCCGGGCGTGTCGACGGCGACACAGCTGGCGCGGAGCGGCAATGCGCTGCTTCGAGTTCAGATCACCCCTCGCACGGATGAGGAAGTCGACGCCCACCTCGAGCACCTCCTTCCCCATGCAGCGCGTTGGGGTACACTTCTCATTGGCTCCCCGGACTACGCAGAGTTCAACAACACTAGCCACACCTTCGACCCCGTATTCATCAAGGAGATTGTGCCTCCCGCCGTGACGTTTGGAAAGGTTTCCGAACTTATCCTCTACTCGGACATCTTTCCCTGGGAAGAGTATTCCGTCCAAGCTATGTTTCCTGCTCTGCGGCGGTTGAGCATGTACAGAATCTTCACATCCCCAGTCGCGACAATATTTCCCTGGCGCCAGCTGACGCATTTCGCCAGTCATATCTCTAACATCGACCCTGTCTACGTTCTCAAAAACGCGCCAAATCTTGTTCATTTTGCGGTCGACGGGAGCCCGTTCGAAAGCATGGACTCGGAGCTGGACAAGTCAACGATCAGGATGGCGCACCTGCGGAGCATTTTTCTCTCGAGGTCGTATACCAAGATATTACGGCTTCTAGTTGCCCCGACGCTGCAAGTTATGGCCGTCCTCCCCTGGGCCGGCAGCACGAACAACGGACTGTCGATTATTAACGACTTTCTCGAGCGCTCCTCGCCCCCTCTGACCACGCTCGTTCTCGAAATGGGCATCTGGTCGCAGGGTATAAGGCGTTGGGGGACCCGCGACAAAGAAGTATTTGTTCCTCAAGACCTCCCACCGACCCTCCGTCTGTGCCCGGCGCTCGAGTACCTCCTCCTCTATACAAGCCCCGCGAGGGACCGCGACACCGGGCCGGACGAGTACACGCTCAAGTTACTATATGAGGCACTGGAGGGCGAGCAGGGGTTGTGCCCACGCCTCACACACTTCCTCTTCGGTTGCGGAAAGCAAGCCCGGCGGTCCAGCTCCTACTACAACGGCTATGGATCACAATCGAGGACGCCATCCAATAGCGTGCGGAAAGCTTTCCGGAGCATGATCATCAAACGCGCAAACCCACCGGCGTACGCGGGATATGAACGGCTGAGGCATTTATCCCTGGGCAAGGAAGACAAGAAGCTCATAGAGTTGCATTCTGTTGACTCTACCGACGACTCCACTGGCACCGACGAGCGGGAGTTGGACGAGGACACCCTGGACATCGAAATCATGGAGCAGGAGGCAATCGTGGATATCGCTTTGCAGTGGCGTGGATTCCCGCTGGACTGGCTTCCAAACATCCGGTCAGGGTACTAAGTAATAAACAGAAAAATACTAGTAATGATTTGCATGGTTTCCACATGACCTACAAGTACAGCGAGACAATATTACTGGCAAATACTGGATCATAACAAATGAGCGCTATAGCATATCATCAATCTGAATCTGAATCTGAATCTGAATCTGAATCTGGTCATCGGCCTCAAGAGCTTCCCCGCCGTCCGGATGCATAGAGCTGAGACGCGGTTAGCAGTGAACCGATTCTACGATGATGTCCACTTACGGATGGTGCCTCCCGCCCAGGATATGCCGTCTTCGGCGGTGGAACGAACGCCGGTTTAGTCTTGTTCTTCAGAATACCGCGCAACGGTTGTGTAGGCGGGGGGCTCTGGCGCAAATGCTACCTGTTGCTGTTGCTGCGGATACGCCTGCACTTGCTGGTACGCCTGCGGCTGCTGGTATAGCTGGCCTTGGGTATAAATGGGCTGTTGGTAGATCGGCATCGACATCGAGTGCTGCATCTGCGGGGCCGCAACAGGTTGGTTGAGGTAGCTGACCTGCACGTGCGCGGACTGGGGCGTATACCCTGGTAGGCTACGGCTGACATGCGCACTTGTGCTTGGCCGGGGGACCCACACCGTTTTGGCGCTCGTGCTAGAGCTGTGCGACTTGTCGTCCTTCTTCAACTTGCTGTGGCTCGAGCTGCTGTGATGGCTGCTGGACTTGCCATGCTTTTTCTCGCTCTCGTGGTGCTTGTCCTTGGACGAAGAATGCTTGTCGTCGTGATGATGATGGCTGCCGTGCTTCGAATGCGAGTGTGAGTGGGACGAGTGCGAATGGCCGTGCGAATGCGAGCTCGAATGGTGCTTGCCTGAGCGGGACGATGGCCGTGAATAGTCGTGACTGTCCACCTGCGCCTGCGCATCAATGACCCAGTCGGCCACACGTTTCGCATGCCGCGGCGCAGGCACGGGTGTCCGCATCCGCGCGATCATCGGCGTCTTCGGCCGTGCGATCGGCGCTGGAGTCCGGGCGTTTCCGCGGTCAGGCGCGAGGACACGTGCGCGGCGGTGATGACGTGGCCGAGGCCCACCGTAGAGAATCGTCTCTTCGTCGTCGTCGCTGTCATCCGTCCAATCTTCGTACGAGTCGCGTGTAGTGGAGCCGCCGTAAACGGAGCTCGTAGAGTCGCCCTCAGTGGCGCTGCTGTTGCGATACCGCCGCTCGGTCTTGCTTTCGACAGGTGGGATATACGGAATCATCGCTGGCTGCTGACTGGGATAGCTGCCGTATATAGGTGCATTGGGCTGCATGGGCTGGCCATATCCCACCTGTGGCGCGCCATACGTCGGCGCGTATGCAGTGGCATGGAATCCCGCGGGGAGTTGGTGCTGCATTGTGGACGCGTGAAGGCAGGAGAGAAGGAGCAGCGGCAGCCGGGGGCGTATTAATATGGGGCCGTCACCCCACGCCTCGTGGTCGCGGACAATCAGTGAGAGCGGCGGAAGGTACTAATCCGGGGGAGGAAGCTGTGGACCGACGTTCCGGATGGAACACAGGCGGTGCGGGAAATTCCAGCATTACACCCAATTGACGAGAGACATACAAGCGACAGACGGACGTGGGGTAGATTGGATGGAGTGATGCTGTCGCGGGAGGAGCGAGGGCGCGAGGGTAAGCGCCGTGGGCGTCTGTGCGCGATGGGATCAGGAGTGGGTAGCCTTCTCTGTCAAGCTGTCAGATTTACGGCTTTGGTGGCGGCGACTCGGGAGATAGACGCCGTGCTTATCGCCCACAGTCGTCCACGTTGCGGATATAGCCAGCGAATAGCACGTTTGTGTACGATGATCGTGGTTGCGGAAGAAACGGAATATGACTCATCAGGTGTGACGTGATTGCGTCACCGACTTGACAGCACACACGTGCTCCATCAATCCCTTGGCTTCTGCCTCCATGGACTCGCTGCTCGACATCGAGAATATCGAGCAACTTCCGGTGGACCTACGCGTGGGTGTCGCATATGGACCTGCCTTCTACTCACCCTACTTTCTACCGGCTAGAACACTGCGAACGCGCTTTTGGCTGGCGATGGCTCGATAGAGCCCATTGCCAGCTTTTTACACTCAAAGCCCACTAAAGACGCATCACTCCCTCTTGCTTGTGTCCTTCACGAACTTTTGGACCTGACCTTGATCCCACTGACCCTTGAAAACACCCAAAACGACCGGAGCCTGCGACACGCCTGGACAATTATCTGTCTTCTCGCTGACACCGACATTCTTGTCTGGGTCGTGGAGGAAGGGTCGGGACTTGGCCTATGGATTCGTGTATGGCCTTGGCTTACCTTTCTTGACGAGTGCCGCTACGATCCAAGCGAGCTAACTACACGTCTACCTAATTATTCACGCGCGGCTTTGGACAGCGCGTTTATCTCCATCGCAGCACGCGTGACCTCCCAAGCGGTTGCCTTCTTCGATGTTATCTTCTCCGACGATGCCCTTCTCAATCTCTTCGCACGTGCCTGGCCATACGTGTACCTCATCACGGATCCCAGCCTCTTATCTGACGCAATGGAGCTCGTGCGCTGTGTCCTGACCGATACGCGCTTTGGTGACGATGCAGGCTGGGTCGAGGCGCTCCTCTCACAGGTCGATGACGGGAACGCGGGACTCGCTCGACTTCTCCTTTCGCACATGCGGCTCTCGCTTTCCTGGCTTCAACCATACGACTTTTCGGTCGCTGCGCTTCCTGCCGACGCATACGACGCCACGGAGCTTTTCCGCTCGGCGATTTTCTTCCTCAGCATCACCGAGACCGTCTTCGACATCGACACGGATATTACGCCTGAGTGGCACAACCCACTTGCTATGGCACTGCTCGACGGCGGATTCGTGGGCCTTACAACGACGGCGTTGGGATACATATCCTCCGCACGTCCTGCTACGATCTCCGCATTGAAGGAGCTGATTCACCAGACGTCTAGCATGCTAAACCTTCTGTTCACGATCCCCCCTGGCCACCTTTCCATGGCGCGCGCAGTATCCAACGGCTTGCTTCACGCCAGTCTGCGTTTTTCAGCTTGTCGCGGAATTCCGTTTCGTGGGGAGGGCCTGATCGAAACCATCCTTCCCGACGCCCGTGTTCGCGTCGACCTCATTCGTGCATTGAAAAAGGGCTATCCAGAGCTCAAGCGGCTGGCCAGCGCCCCGGGGTTTCGGCAGTCCTCGGCTCTAGCCTCGTGGGAGGAGCTGGACAGCCTTATGGTGGACCGTTTCGAGCTATTGTCGCGGTATGACGCAGGGGAGTTCCCTGCAAGGAAGATGTGTGATAATATGCAGGTCCGCCGGTCACCTCCACTGTTGGGGTTAGTCTAACCAGAGCGCAGTGCGCTCTCATCGGCCGCGAAGCCGAGTTCAAACGCTGCTCCGGCTGTCGTGCGGTCAACTACTGCTCCGCCAAATGCCAGCAGACCGATTGGAGAGAGGGCGAACACAAGAAGGCGTGTAAATCTCTGCTCTTTCTTCACACAGGTCAGTATCCCCGTCCCTCGCACCGATGCGTATGAACTCACGCACTGCCTCGTTAGACGAGCAAAGCCTTGACTTGACGCCAGTGGACCGCGACTTCATGCGCGCACTGATGGACGTCGAGCTGCAGCGCAATCGCCCCATGCTGGTCGACGACACGTCCGCGTTGCTACGCAGCCATCCCGCTTCCATCCCGCTCACGTATTTCGTATACTACAGCTCGACCGGCACCCCAGAGCAGACGAACCGCGTAACGGTCTTGCGCGATGCGGCAGATTTCGCGGGCTTCACGCGCGGCATATACTCGTCGGCGCAGCAGGCGGCGGCAGCGGCAGCGTACAAACACCTGTTCCGGCGGGTCAGCGCTAGCGGGGGCCGGCTGATGCTCGATCTCGTTGCGCTCCCGCATGGTTCGGCGCGTGGGAAGACGTGGCTTGTGCTGAGACGCGTGGCGATGCCGATCTTACCGTTATTGGCCGGACGGGGGCCAATCGATGGACGTGCTGTAGATGCTGCGTGGCCTCTCCAATTCCACTGACACGGTTCTGTGTAAGTCATACACCATCTGAATAATGCAATCTTGGTGCAGTCAGTATCATGTCCGTTGTTGTACATGTCACAGACTGGCAGTGCAGCAGTCCATAGTAATACAGTTGTCTCCGTCGCAATACATTGCTGTCGCCTAGTATATATATATAGCAAAACAGTGTATAGCTGGAAAGCGTAAAATTTTCCTGTCCAGAAACAAGTTTCAAACAACCCAAACTTTTTTTTGTTTTTCACAATTCTTGTTTGTACCTGATATCCGTCAAATCTTCAACACTCCAAAAAACCTCACACTATGATGATGTATGGGGGATCAAAAGAAAGGTCCTTTTCAGATCTCAGTTAAAAAGATTTTTGATAGCAGCACAATATTTGCTGGGCTGATTTAGGAATCCCCCCCCCCAGGAAGGTTAAAGGATAATAAATGGAAATCCCAAATTTGTCGCTAGATTTTTTTTGTCTCATAAAACAGTTGTACTTATACAGCGTAGTTTTTGACGCAAGGAAATTCAGGGACAAAGCTTGCCTTTTTCCAGGACAGAAACCCAGGGTAAAACTTGTTATATCCATTTACCAAATTACCCTGGCATTTCTACAAAGGAAAAAACTCCAGAAAAATCCAGGATAAATCTAGACATTTATCTGTTCCAAAAACATGGGGTTTTTCTGCTCGATGAAGGTACAGAAAAATAGGCAATACAAAAGACAAAGACAAGTTGATGTGTTGCTTAATCTGTTGAAACAGAAAACCCAGGTTTTTCCTACAGATCGATGGCCACTTAGATGTAAATTTTATTTCCAGTCTTTTTCTTTGTAAAAATCACAGGTCAAATTAGTGAATAATTGAGACATGCATCACATAGTTTTATTTCAAGTTTTTCTGCTGGAAAAGGATAGGTTTGCCCACAGATTTTCTTTGGGTCAGAAATTACCACTTATACAGTGATTTCATTATACAAAGAATTTACAGATAAATTTTTGCATTTATTCCTCCATTGATCCTCTAACTTCAGGCCCATGATCAGGTGATTGATATGAGGTAAACATATTGAAGAGCTAATATGGCCTGTCATGTCAATACATACATAATTTTTTTTAAACAAAGAAAAAGTTTTACAAAGATTGAATTCGTTATGCCACATTTTGATCACATAATGCCAATTGTGGAGACATATTACCCTCCTCCGTGTATTTCCTGGAGTTTTATTCACGCCTTTGGATCCTCCCCTGCTAGGACTCTTGTTGGAGCCTCTGGGGTTGCCCTTACAGTAACACCGCTGCCTTTATGACCACTGACAGGGTCCCAGCCTCCTAGCGAGCACATGGATTTGCTGTTTGTCTAATAGTCTGTTCAAAGCAGAGAGCATCGGCCTTTTCGATATCATGAATGCAATATGACATCTTTTTCCCAGTTAGCCCAGCCATATATATAATGATTACTCCTTCAAGCTTCTGGTATAGGCACGTGTTCATACTTATATCACCATATTGGGTGCTGTGCCAGTGCAAGAACCAAAGGGGAGGAGTGGAGAGTTTGACTCTGAAGGAAATTTAAAAGAGATATATCAATATATCTATAACAAGGCAGGCCTCCACTTCGCTCCGGTAACATGGCAAGATAGGATTTGAATTCAAATATAACACACACACACACACACAGAGAGAGAGAGAGAGAGAGAATAGGAAAAGCCAGATCAAACTGTCAGATAAATGTCACATTTATCTACTGTCCTATTTAGGTCAACTGTCTGCGTTACGCGTTACATTGACCAAAAAAGTCCTTGTGAAAAATCACCATAAATCAAAAGCAAATTTTTTGGTCCCAAATTTTGAAAAAGTGCCGGACACTTGATTGAAATGGGACAGTATTAGTTGAGGTTGACATCTAGATAAAAGAAGAATCTGGAGACAAATCTCAGATTGGTATAAGCATCTGGACCTTTATCAAGCAAGACCTGGGTTTTTTTCTCCTGAATGAAGAGAAACTGTTCAACCATTTGGAAACACCAAGACAACTTTATCTGTCAGGAAACCATAGGTTTCTCTTGCAGATCAAAGCGCAAAAATAATCTAACTAAGTTTCATAATAATAAAGGTACTCCTCAGCCTCATAAAGATCGACTGTTCAGCATTTTAGTATCAGCTGCATGGTATATGATTTGGAATATACGAAATGAAAGACGTCTAAAAAATCCTCGTAAGATTTTCCAAGTTAATGAAATACATAATCGATGGCTTACAATGATAAATTCAATACTGCAACGAGATAGAATCTTGACTAATAAATATAAATTTGATAAATTAGCTATTGATCACCAAGTAGTTCTAAATACTTGGAGTGGACTTCTGCTGGATGAAGACTCCTTGCTGGATAACTGGATAAATGAAAAGGGGGTTTTAGTGGGTATTCTACCTTTGAAGAAAGGTGTTGGATGAACCACACTAACAGTAGGAGTCCCACACTGGTTTTAAAACGTGTGTAAAGGCATTTTCCCCCTGAGCTTACTTCCCGGCATTTTTACTGGCTATTCCCAGTGCACCCAGCGGATGTTCTTTGGAATGCTTCTGCAGACTGAAGTTCATTACTCCAAACGCTCAAAAAAAAAAAAAAGGAAAAAAAAAAAAAAAAAAAAAAAAAGCGCAAAAATATTGAAGATCTCTCTGTAGTTTTTCTAAATATCAAAAAAAAAAAAATCACCCTCACCTCATTGCCTGATAAGCATCTTGATGCCCCCTCGATAAATCTGCCAGTAGGATTTACTCTTGCATTTGTTTCCCACTGATGGAGACATTTCCCCCTTTGAAAACGTCTAGGAGAAAGGGAAGAGTAAGTCAAAACTTGCTATTTATCTCTATGCATGTGCAAAAAATCAACAAATAAGTAAACAGAGAATTTGTCTTGTCTTTGACCCATTATTTTTAGAATGAAAAGAGGACTCGGATTTGATCAAGAATGAGAGTTCAACGTGTGATTAGTCCAGGTCTACTCGTACAGTATCGGCTGAGGTTTTATGGTCAATATGGTAGTACATTATACCTCATAATAATGACAGTGCTCGCATCATACCATGGCCCCCGCGGCGAAATACTCCAGAACTTGCATGTCGTGCACGCTCAAGCCCAGGCCGCCCAGGCCGTCCTTCAGCAGCTCACACGCCTCTCTATCCTCGTCCTCCTCCACCACAGCCTGCATGACTTTCCTGACCGAGCAACGGGCGGCAAATGCGAGGTAGACCATGGCGATGACGAGCAGCGTCCGTGGCGGGCCGACAAGCACGACGCGTGGCGGGTCCGCGGGCACAGCTTGGGCTCCGGCAGCGAACTCGTAGGGCAGCGCCAGCGCGAGGAAGTCGCGCGCGGCCATCAGGTGGCTCGGGCCGAGCAGGAGCCCCGTTTCGTCCGACTCGTCCGGGACATAGAGCGTCAGAAAGTGCCGGCTCTGTGCGGACTGGGCGACGGCGAAGGTGCCGCTAGGGTGCTCGCCCGTCGCGGGCGCGGGTGCCACCCGGAGCACGTGCGTCCATGGGCCTGGCGGAGTGGCGAGGGTGGCCGAAAGTGGCACCGAGTGGAAGAACAGGTGGGGCACGAATTGGCGTGGCCCCCGGCGGAAGGCGCGATGGCGCCGGGGAGCGTGCGGGTCTACGGACGGAGGGACAAAGTATAGGTCTGGAGTCGAGGGGGCTTTGAGTGAAAACATAACGAGTGTGGTGAAGGGGAAGAGCGGCACAATAAGGAGAGGAAGATTCGTTTGTGGAGGGATGCTGCCCAGCAGATGAAGGGAAAGAGGGCCAGACGATGAGTCTTATATACTCGGAGGACCGAGTTCAAAGCACACAAAGCTGATTGATCATGGAGGGTTAAAGTCAGATAACGGTGCTTTGTCTTCAAAGGGACCACGCACCTCAAATCGACAGACACGGAATTTGTACCCCATCGTCGATCGACGTCTGTTCGAAGCAGGCTTGCTCTCCTCGTGGAGCTTTCCGCGAGCATGGCATTATTTTTTGATGGTACAAATACATTAATTAGGACTGCCGACTTCTTACTTTCAGTTCTCCTCACCGAGCTATCGCCAGTAGGTTCCCGTGTGCCTGTCTCCATAAACGCCGTGCGGAATATACGTCGGCGCGCTAGCGAACGACACCCTGCGCTGTCGCGGCGCATACCCATACCCATATCCAGCACTGACCACAGGGGGCGAGGGGAGGTGTAGCACCGAAGCGGAGGGGAGCGACTGTCGATGGGGCCGGATGTACTCAACCAGTGCGGACGGGGCACTGGCCGCGCGGCTGTGGCTCAAGCTCGGGGAGTGTTGTTGGCTCGGCCCGGGAGAACGTAGGACCGGTTGGCCAACGGAGATGCTGAGGTAGAGCGGGACGATGTAGTCGCCGTAGGGGAGGTTGATGGTAGCGCGGCGGGAACGCGAGCGGGAGACAGATGATTTAGTGTACGCCTCGCGTTTGCGCTCGGGGGAGTATTCAGGGTATGCTTTGGGGACATGCCGGCCATGACTCGAAGAGCGACGGCGACTCCTACTGCGATGGTGGTCGTCACGGTCCCGCTCCCGGGCCTTCTCCAGCTCATAACCGCTGCTCTTGTACCCTCTGTCGTCGTATCGGCGCGAATGCGAGCGAGAACGACGGGGGGAGGGAGTGTTCTTGGATATGAGGCGCGTGCTGGGAGTAGTGGGGCGATGGCGCGTAAGCGTACGGAGGTGAGGAGAGGCCGTGCGCGGGGTACATCGCGTAGTCGTAGTATTGTGACGTCGGCGGCGACCGCGTCTGGGAATGTCGCGCGTCGTAGTACATCGCCTGGGGATGACGTTCGGATATTGCTGAAGACGAAGGCACTGCTAACGCACCTTATATAGCCCTTTTCTCGCGGTTTCCGTCTCCCTGGCGTACCCTTCGTCGAACACACCGTCGATACCAGCACATGGCGAGCCCGCCTAGACCGGCGCTCCTGGACTAGCGCCTCCGCAGCGAGGACAAATCGGCGTGCCTGACCCCCGCGGATGCCAACGCAATAGGCCCATGCAGTCGTCGTGGTGAAAAAGTGAGGTGCTTGGTGCTGAGGAAGGATGTCACACGTGACGGTCGTCAAGGGGCTTGTGAAATTCGATCGATACGCGATCAGAGCACAGCCCTTGGTTCCGTGTAAGGCACGATGCTCTTCCGACGACAAGTATTCCTCGTTGATCTCGACATCATCTATATGGTGGATACGTCCCTTAACTCCCAAAGAGCCGCCATGTAGAAGCACCGGGAACTTGGACGCAAATGGGAATCAGCCCCGTGGCCCGACGGATCATGACATCACGTCACGCCCGTCATAGTCATTTCCTCTTTGTCCTCAACCACCACCACGCGCATTTCGTCCGATGCCTCCAGGCAAGTACTCTCGCTTTTTTGCGCTCCATCCGGGGAACCACTTATGAATCCACAGAGCCCATACCCCCGGAGCTGATAGACACCGTTCTTAACTACGTTGACGACCGCAGGACACTCAAGGCATGCACTGTGGTTTGCCGCAGCTTTTGTGCACTCGCGCAGAAGAGACTCTTTTCGTCGTTCACCCTCCTGCCGCCTTCTCTCCCCCATGTGGCTCCACCTCCGCAGGACCTTGCAACCTTTCTGGTGAACTCCCCGCATATCCCCTTTCACGTCCGCCGTCTGCATATCGTCTGCCCCCACTACGAGAACTGGGTCGGCGCCATCCTGCAATGTCTTGCGCTGTTCACGCGCCTGACAAGCCTCCTCATCGACTGCCGCTACCTCTCCAAAGACACTCACAGCTGGGAGTCCTTCTACCCGGACACCGTCACCGCCTTGCGATCAATAGCCGCGCTACCCTCTATGCGCACGCTATTGCTGTACGCTGTCGACCTCGATGTTGCCTTGCAGCTCTTCCCACCACGAGTCCGTCGCTTGGTCCTGTACCGTCCGTGTTTTGACGTCAATATTGGGCTTGCACTTGATGCCCAGTATTCCGGGCGCGAGGATAGTATACCCAAGCTCGAACTTGACTCACTCGAGCTCCAGTTGGACTCGCTGCACGAGCCCGCGGCGGACCTTTTCTTTGCACGCTTCATCGACGTTGCGCGGCTGCGGCATCTCCACGTGGCCTACCCGGAGTCCGAATATGGGGAGTGCCCGCCGCAGGTGCACGCCGTGCATCATACCGTCGACCTCCAGCATCTCCACATAACCGCCCGGACGTTCGACGTCCAAAATGGTAAGTCCCCGTGTGTCGCATCGCAAGCTCGTGGCTTACGAGGTGTTTGGACTTCGCAGACACGCGCGTCCTCGATATCAGCCACCTCCAAAAGCTGCACGTTGTCAAGCTGACCGTGCCAGTCGACGCCGACATTGTGTTCGATAGCGTGTATAGCGTCGTGGAGACTGTTTTGCGCTGCATTGTGATTCCAGGCCCGGTCCGACATGTGATCATCGATCTCGCGCTCTCCGAGTTTAGCGGACACTCCGAGCTCCCACTCATTCGATCGCTCGCGCACTTTGCGGAGCAGCTGGCTCCCCTCTTACACTCATGGGTGGACCAGCATTTCATGCCGACGGTGTCCATCTGGGTCCACTTTCAAAACGGATATGTTGGGAATATTGGGGGGCCAGTGAGGAAGGCAGTATTAGATGAGGTGGGGGATCTTGGCATTGACGTGAATGTCGAGGCATTCGGTGATGCGAGAGATGCACTGAAATAAATAAGAGTGGATATCTATCTTTGCACGGTCTTCTACCTGGAGGGTCATTATATCCACTCCAAGACTTAGTTCTATGCAGATTCAGGCTGTGAAATTTAGTTACCAAAGAACTAGTTGTTGACAAAATTGTCTTTTTTTCCAGATCAGTTCTTTTCATCTTCGTTCAACAATGAATATAGGGGAGTTCTTGGGTTCAAAAACTATTTCCAATAACCAGATTTTTTCTTTTTGCATAGTTAATTACACAATCTATTGTTGTCTCACCAGCTTTTGCCTTGCAAAATAATTCTCTCACAATCCAAGACTTGCATACCAGAGTTTTATAAAAATTCAGGCAGGGAAAGTTAGTTTAAAAAGGACTAGTTGTAAATTGCCGTTTGCCAAAAAGAGATGGTGTTTGACAGCAAAAAGACGTGGTGGAAACAATAAATTTCTTTGATTAACTTGGCAAAAAGGAGATTACCACTTTTAGAACGGGTTTTACAGGTTGAAACTAAATCGTTTCCTCAAAGGAATATATATATATATATATATATAATATCATAAGTTTCAAACAGAGAAATATTTGGTTTCTGCCTCAGTAAAAACCTTTAACAATTGATTTGTTTGTTTGAGACTTCCAAGAAAATTAGAGTTTTCCACAAGAGGTGTTGGATCGGGAAGCATTATTATCTTCTGATTTATTATTAATACCATTATATTATGCCTGGGCCAGAACAGATATTATATTATTCCATATTATATTAAATTATGATATGATTATTATTATTATTATATCATGATGGCTCCAGCATAATATATTATTCTCTCAACTTATATGTCAGCCCCAAAGTCATAAACTTTGTAGAAATACAGACATCTCAATGGCATGGGTTGGCTTAACTAGGGCTTGGTTTGTAAAGATTTTGAGGGTTATCAAACGGTTTGATAAAAATAGCCTCTGAAACCCTGTTTATAAACCGGTTTTTAGGTTTTATAAACCAACTGAGCTGATATGATGGGAGAGATCAAAATTGCCTTTTTGGGAAATTTTGCAGCAAATTTTAGTGTTTTAACTTCATGATTTTAAGATTCATAAACAGTAGGGGTTGAAACAGCCAGGATATATCAACTATCACTTGTAAGTTGGCATAACATGGCTAAGTTATATATATATATCATATACAATTTATTTGAAGTTATCTTATCAGCAGATCTTGGATGCCCTGTTATGGATTCTTTATACCACTGAAAAATTATAATGACCTTGATAATAATTAAATCTATATGGTTAGTATAGTATAGTCACACAGCCAAGCTTCTAATACTAGTATTAATCATGATCAATATGACAATATCAGGCAAAAGTAGGTTCAGATCCTACTTGATAAGAGGCAATATATCATAATAGACCTATAAGGTATGATCAAGCCTACTAGCAGTATATGGAAGCAATATTGGTGTCAAGTAAGTCTGATTTGCTAGCTTTTTTCCTTTTGATGTGCTTACTAATATAAAACCATAAAACAGGGGGTTTCCAGCCAGGCTGTTTAAAACATATAAAACAGGGGTGTTTATAAACCAGTTTACAAACACCCCTATATAAACCAAGCCCTAGGCTTAACCCATGGGTCAGACCTACCTATGTAACCTTAGGTCACCTACCCATGGACCCAGGGGTATGTAGTCATGCAATATGAGTATGTAAGCAGTTATTTTATGCAATTGGGTTTAAACTATGCATTTATTGAAAGCCATGAGTTTCTATAGACTTTCAAGTACATTTGTAGAAAGTTCACATTAGTCTTAAGCAATTAATGTACTACTACTACTACTATTTATATACAAATATAACTGTTTTCAGTCATCTCCTGACCAGCAGTAGAATACCTACAATCTCCAGCAGCACTTTTGGCTAGCAGTTCTTGGACAGTATATGCATGCTGAGCAAACAAATCATCCCTTTCCCATTTATGCCAGTGGAAAATTGCAAAATTGAGTTTCACATCATTTGATTCAACAATGCTATGTGGTTTGTCAGTCAACCATGAGTATCATTGATGAGTAATCCATTCATAATTCATGATCGCTCGTTCCCACGCATATCACTCATCGCTCGGTGTATCAATCAAAGGGCGGCAGCACCAAATCAACGACCAATACATACCCATACCCATGGGTACGGGTTTGGTGGCTGTGCGGGTACAAGTATGAGTAGGGCCTCTGATACCCAGGCGTTTACTCACATTCACAGGTCATAAACACTATGAAGACAAGAATAGAAGCCTTCAATAGAAGCCTTCTATTCTTGTCTTCATATCACAAACAACACCAATTCAGAGGATGCCAGTTAGCCAGTAAAGACAAGCAAGAAGCACCGTGAAAGGATATCGTCAAGATGATGGAATTCAAAGACTATGGTACAAGACGAAATCTACTCTACTTATATCCACTACTAACATGTGTTTACCATGCCTAATACGAGAGGCAATGAGATCATACTTTAGCCATGCCTTTACGTGCTGTTTGCCTCATGTCCAACTCCATGCTGTCAATCAACATCAGCATCGACATCTGATAATCCAATCATCATCTTATCGTTCATCTTATCTCCTCCTTGTCTTATCTTATCAACCAGGGCCAAAATAAAGGGTTTAAAAGGTGAAGAAAAAGGTTTCTTGAATGCAGGGTTTGTGTAAGGGTCGCGTGACCGCTTACAGCATGATGACAGTGTAAAATTGCAGCAATGATGGGATAGACTAGCGGACCGGTAGCGGGTGCAACTCCTGCATGTTCCATTTTCATTGGCTGTTAGAAACGTTACATCTACTTACGCTAGTCACTTTTACAACCACCCCGACTCCTTCCATGTGCCGACAGCGCCTTGTCACAGTTTGACACTTTATAGTGTTTAGCCCCAAACGAACGTTGAGTTTAGTGAAATAACGGGCACCCTTGAGCCTGTTGATAAGGTCATTAATCAACGGGAGGGGGTACCGGTTCTTAATCGTCATAGCGTTGAGGGCGCGGTAGTCCTGGACAAACCGAAGTCCTCCGTCCTTTTTCTTAACGAAGAAGACGGGGGAAGCCATCGGAGATTTCGAAGGGCGGATACGGCCGGTGGCAAGTCCCTCCTCGATGAACTCGTCGAGTTCGCGCTGTTCAAGGGGGGATATCGGATACACCTTTCAATTAGCGGGCTTCGGCGTTGGGAACGAGTTCGATAGCGTGGTCCCAAGCCTTCCGCTCTGGTAACGTGTCGAAGGACTCCTTGTCAAAGACGTCTTGGAACTCCTTGGCCCAGTCCGGAATTTCCGAAGGCGGGGGGGGCCGAGTTACGGGCGAAGGCCTCTGCAAGGCGTTGGGACACGGTGCTCCCGGCGCAAATCTCCTCGATTGGGCAAAAGGAGGTGTAGAATATGCGGTCGCCGTCTTCAAGATGCTCGTCATCGTCGAGATCTGGTGAGGGACTCAGAGGGTCCGAAGTAGCTCTGAGTTCGTCGTCAGCATCGTCTGGACCGGCAATATCGATAGCGCAAACAGTGGGGAAGGCGCCCGAGAGCAAACACGATTTGAGGAGTCGGAGGCGCCGACTCCTTCCCCGGAGATGTTTCATTGCGGGTTGTGAGCTCTAGGGTTCGATGCCAGCCTGGGTGCCCCACGATGGGAATGTTGTGGTGTTGTCGCAGCACCCGATGCCTCAGTCCCATAGCTGGGGGCACATACACAAGTCCGTTTCAAGTCTTAAAGCCATCGTGTTGTTCCCAGCCGTCTGGCACTCCTCCTTCCCAGAGCTTGAGGACCTTCTCTTCTGTGGCCGATTCGGCCCGTCGGATCGAATCCATCAGCCCATCGCCCTCAGTATGCTCCAATGTAAGCATTGCGCGGATCGCGTGCTCCTTGAACAGCCCCGCCGGTAGTAGTACAATGTCCTGGTTATCCTCTTTCCCGTTTCTTCGGGATAATGCGTCGGCGCGCTCGTTCATTTTCCCCGGTTTATGTAACAAGGAGAAGTGGTATTCGCTTAGTTCAAGTGACCATCGCGCTTGTCGCCGGTTCAGCTTCTTAGCCGTCATGAAGTACTCCAGATTCTTGTGATCGGTCCAGATTTCAAAAGGTTTTTCTCCCCCGTTTTGGAGCTAGTGCCTCCACTCGGTGAGGGCCCGCATGATCGCCAGCATCTCCTTATCGTGGATGTCGTAGTTGCGCTCCGTATCGTTCATGGCCCGAGAGAGAAACACGATCGGCACCCACTTCCCGTCCTGCTCTTGCGAGAGAACGGCCCCGGTGGCGAAGTTGGAGGAGTCCGCTTCGACCTGCCATGCCCGTGATCCGTAGGGAAGTGTAGAACTGGTTCATCAGTGACCCGGTCTATTAATGTTTGGAAGGCTTCTTCCTCCTCCGGTCCCCATTTCCATGGGTTGTCCTTTCGGGTCAGTCGGGTGAGTGGCTTGGCGTAGGCGCCGAAGTCCTTAATGAATCGTCGATAGAAATTGAGAAACCCCAGGAAACTTTGGACTTCCCGCAGATTCCGAGGTCGGGGCCATTCGCGCACGCCCGCAACCTTAATCAGGTCCATGCGGAGTTGCCCGTTCCCGATGATCACACCGAGGTACTCAACTTCACTTCGCTCGAAGTCGCACTTGTCCGGTTTCAGGTATAGCTGGTTGTCCTTCAGAATCCATAGGACCTCCTTCACCGTTGCGCAATGTTCGGAGAGGTCACTAGAGTATATGAGGATGTCGTCCAGGTACACGATCACGCGACCCTGGGAAATCAGGTTGGAAAACAGTTCGTTCATCATAGATTGGAACGTGGCCGGGGAATTTGTGAGGCCGAAAAACATCACGAGTGGTTCGAACAGGCCCCGGTTGGTGATGAACGCGGCTTTTTCTTCATCGCCTTCTTTTATGCGTGTGTTGTTGTACCCCCAGCGCACGTCGAGTTTGGTGAACCACCGGGCGTTACGTAACTTGTGCATGATGTCCGAGATGGGTGGTATCGGGTATCGGTTTTTTATG